CCAAAAAAAAAATTATAAATATAAAAAAAAAAAAAAAAAAAAAAAAAAAAAAAAAAAAAAAAATAAAAGAAAAAAAATCATAAATACTAAATCTTTACAAGAGTTAATTTCCTATATTTGATTTATAAAGGTATACCATCCAAGAAAGCTTCATTACCTTCTCTAGTTACGACAACTTGAACATTACCTAAAATTCTGGTAACAAAACCTCCTTCACAATAAGCGAAATAAAATTCCCATTTCTTTTTAAATATTTCAATCTCACTTGGGCTCATATTAGGCCAACTGTTTAATAAAGCAGGATGAATGAGTTCATCAAATACTGACAGGAACCTTTCGCGCCATAATCGTAATGTACGTGCGTAATGAGGTCCAATATTTTCCAGATGATCAACAATAAGCCTGCCTTTGGAACCTTTGGCTATGGCTTGCACCAAGGTCGTCACACTTGGACAATGACCTCCTAAAAAAAGGTTCATTTTATTTATGATTATTATTTATCGTTCAACCCTACTTAAAATGATTTCAAATCTTTTTTTACCTGGGAAAATGTATTTCCTTATAAAATCAACTTCTTTGCAATATCTATCGTATCTTGTTTCGGGCATGGTAATAACTTGGAAGACACCAATACCCCCCTTTTCTTTCAAAAATCTGTCACAACATTCAAAGTATGTTGATAGATATTGTGGACCAACCGCTTCAATCATTTCAATACTTATAATTTTATCAAATTGATGTGAAGCGGGTAAATTGCGATAATCGCATAACAGCACGTTGATACGATCCGAGAATCCCGCACTCGCGATACGTTCTTCGGCGAGATTCTTTTGCTCGATTGAAAGCGTTAAACTTGTAACGTGACATCCCGTTAACCTCACAGCCTAAAGAGTAGTAGGAATTTTTTTTTTTTTTTTAAAAAAAAAAAAAAAGAAATTAAACATTCCAATTACATCATCATGATAATTACCTCAATAGCAAGGGAACCCCACCCAGTGCCGATTTCCAAAACGTTATCATCTTTGGTGATTTTCGCCTTTTTAATCATCATTCTCAGTTTTCTATATTGAGCTTCCTCTAAAGGTTCCTCTTCACTTGCGAATACGGCACTAGAATAGGTCATATCGCGGCTTAAGAATGCGGCAAACATTTCATTGCTTATATCATAATGAGCCGAAATGTTATTAATAGCATTGGAAATTGTATTGGCGAAACGAGAATTCATAACATAATTTATTGTGTTAAAGATATATGAAGGAACTGTTGAAAGGTCGTCAAGATGTGACCTATTCGCTACGAAAATCTGTAATTGAATTGAATTAATACGGTGCGTGACATATAAGGGTGACAAATAGGTTGTGAAGGGTCATAATGAATTGCTAATGAATACCTTAATAAGAGTAACCAAATCGTCGCAAATCACGTCTCCTAACATATATGCCTCAGCAAAACCCTATTAAATCGAAATAATAAAAAAAATATATATATGTATTAAATTTTTTATAACGCGAGTTTCCCATTTGCGAGTCGTTAGTTTTGATATCACATGACGCGTATTTATTAGTGTTACCAATTCAAATTGTACGACAAAATACGACATGAGAGTATGCATAGATTACAATTGTAATTTCATCTTGTAAAACATTCTCTGTTTCAAATATATAACATACCAAATCACTCAATAACAATAATCGAATCCAAAAAGAATCGTTGACGATCTTGATTTCACTTTTCAATTGTGAATCTTTTGGACCAAATTCGTAAATATGATCTTTACTAAGTACGCGAAGATGTCCAACATCAATTCGTGACATTAGCGAAAGAAGGGTACTTTGAGCTAATTGATTATTTATAAGGAGATAAAATTAATTCGTTAATAAATCATCACTGGTCCGTTGAAGAATCAGGATTGTAAGGAAAATATATAAATAAATAAATATATTCTCTTAATACACATTCAAAGGTTGAATTTCGAAAGTGAAAGGGGATTCGGCAAATTTCAAAACAAAAAAAAAAAAAAGAATTTTAATGGAAAGAAAAAAAAAATATACCAAAGTGAAGCAGTGGTTCCCATGAATTTGAAATAAGAATTTCTTTAGAGTATTGAAAGTAAGAATCAACGGTCGCGATAACTTTACTTGATGAATGAAGAATGTGACTCTTTTCGTAACTCATGTTTAAATTAAATGTCGCGAAAAAAAACAAACAAAAAATGATTGATATTAATTAAAAAGGTGAGAAGATAAAATCCGGCACATATATATATGTATATGTATCACAAATACCGCAAATGATTAAAAAAAAATTTTTTTTTCCTACTCATTAATTAGCCAATCCATTGTAAGAGAGATAAAATTAATTTGCAAAATTGCCCCAATCGTGCTGCATATTGTTAACATTGAATGTTTCACCATTTATATCAGAACTGATACAAATCTATATTATAGTACATATAAAGTCAATCGAGTAAATTTCCTTTCAAGGAGCATAAATTAAATTTATCCTTGTTTCTGGCATGTTATCCGTTTTTTTGGTGACTATCATTATTAAAAAAAGAATGGATTAAATTAGAAAGTTCAATTCAAGATACACAAACATTTATCTTCATTTTTCTAATCGGATGTCTGATATCCAATGAATTTCTATGATTCGTTTGTTCTATATGTTTGAACCAGTAGAAAGAAATACTTGCCTTGAGCAATAGAAATGGGGGGAAACTGCCGGGAAAAATAAAAAATGAGTTAATGCTAAATATGAACATACGGTCAACTCTCTCTACTCTCTAACGCATAGAAATTTTCCTTTTAAATTCACACCCTCTTTAAATACATATTTTTTAAAATTTTCACTATGGTCCCAAGGGGTGTATTTAGAGAGAGTTGACTGTATGTTGGCCTTTCCATTGCAAAAAGTCACAATTTTAGAACCTATAATAATTAATAATCATTTCACATGTTCGACACATCGTTCCGAATAACTATTAAATTCAACTATATCAGTTTAAAATTTTCATCTTTGCCCCAAATTGACGCACCAAATTTTCATAGATTAAAGATCTCCAGGATCGATCAAAGGGTTCAATTCTTCCATATATATCCATTTTTTTTGGGAATGGAACGAAATTTATATACGACTATCTCGATCAACGCGATAAATTTTTATAGCGTTTGATCAGCACAATAAAAAAAATTTTTTTTTCGAATACAAGAATCGAACGAAGGGTATAAAGTGTATCACGGTAAATTAGGTTGTGACGGGTTCACAAAATGTATTGGATGATGATCAAACATCGTTATACAATTGTTCTTTAAATGGTGAAAACACTTGTAGTTGCCTGGTAATAAATAATAGTAATATCTGCATATAATTAAAGGTATCATTTATCCCAGAACTCTAATTTTCAAATAAAGGTTTGAGTAAATATTGAAGTTTCGTTCCAATTAAATGTTCGTGTTTATGTTCCATCTTTACACATTCCTTTTTTCAACAAACAAGTATTAAGCAGGAAGAAATCTCCCGCGGGATATTTGTCCGTTATAAACAAATTTATTTTCCTTTTTATCGTGCCGTGTGATACGTATCTGCATTAATTTCTGCATTAATTTAAATTACCCTTTGCATTTTGTATTACCATGAAGATTTTCAATATAAATATATAACGGATCAAAAATTTTTTTTTTATTTTTTTTTAACATAATAAAATGTCAATATTTTCATATATCATTGCTACAGGTTTATTATTTTATGTACTTAAATTTCCACTTCCAAGTCAGAATATACTTTGGGTGGTATTTTTAATATGTATAATTAAGTTATTACATTATTTTATATGTAAAAATTTAGAATCATCCTTAATATCTTTAGATCAAATTAAAAAACATCAAAAGATTTATTTTTGTAAAACTTATCATGCGAGGTTTTGGCCCATTAATCATTCTTTTAAATATCCTATAATATTTGTTGGAGTTGATTTGGATTTATTAGAACAAGAGAAATATAAGAAAATCGGAAAGAAATTGTAAAGATTTGTTGAAATTTTTTTTTGATTTTTTGATTTTTGAAGGGATCTTCTTTTATCAATTATTTCAATTATTTCTTTAATAAATAATAGGTTTGAAATCGGATATAATAATAGTTCGATTTTATTAAATATAAATGATGAGGATTATCTCGGAAAAATCAATGTTGATGATCGTAATTTAGAAAATCCATATCTGCAAAGACCAAAAAAACAGATAAAGTCAATCAAAGAAAAATTATTATGGCATATCAAACGACATGTAAGTTATATTTGATTTTACACATAAATTATTTCTCCTGATCAAATTTAATGAATAATGCCTCTTGTTGAAATATAAAAAAAAAAAAGAATATTTCGGTGGATGATTTATGTAGATTTGAATTAGTTACAATGCCAAGATTCTTAGGATATGCTTTCAATCCGGTTAGTTTTCATTATTGTTACAATAAAAATAATCAACTTAAAGTTATTGTATTAGAAGTTAATAATACTTTTGGAGAAAAACATTTATACGTGTTAAACAGAGATACAGATTCCGAACATGAATTTCGAAATGGGCAAGTGATCTAGTTATCTATTAATTCATCTATTTAATTATTTTCAAATTTTTTAAAATCAAAACTTCTTCTTTTAACAGGTATGATATGAGTTTTACCATGAAACGATCTTTTCATGTGTCACCATTTAACGATCGTTTAGGAATTTACAAGGCATTCTGTAAAGATCCTAAATCAGGTTATTTGGATATGAGGATCGTAATGTACGCGGATCCATCACTTTCGGATCATAAGCATTTACCATCCGAAAATATCATTCCGAGTAAATCACAATTTAAAAAGAAAATGGTCGCTACCGCATCAGGACCTTCATACGCCTTAACGATGAACAGTTTATTATATGCTATATTGACATACCCTTTTGAAATATTTTTAACCTTTCCAAGGATTTTAAAAGAAGCGTACACATTACATTATAATAAAACGTTAGGGGTTTATCATAGGCCAATTCCCGTTGATGACACTGTCGTGAAATTGGAACCAAATTCAATTGATTTGTATACATTCGTTTTTAATTTCTTGGAAAGGGAGGTGGGGTTTTATGTTTTATTTCAAGTTGGACCTTGTTAACCTTTTTTTTTTTTTTTTGGCGTTTAATAATAATAGATATGCTCAAAAAATCATCACGAGTTATTTAGGTCACCTAGTTGACAACGTAGACAATTCATTCGGATCAACTCATATTACAATAAATTTACCTGACGAGAAGAAATCGCCGATCATAATACGTCCATCAAATTTACTTTCGACTATGATATTACCATATTCAAATCATATAATTATCAACCTTCATAATTATTCATTCTTTACGAATTTCTTAATAAATCAAAATCTTTATAGGGCTTTATTAATAGGTTATTTTGAAAAATCATGGGATTGTAACGAATTGGAATTGTTATTAAACATGATCTTTAATAATAAATCATGCGAAGAGAAGGAACCTTTACACAGAGATCATAAAATTAGGTTAAGCAATTTTGAAAATAGAATATCAAAGTTAAGGAGATGGTATTGGAAAAATTTATTTAAGGACCCAGAAAGTTCGGGTGAAAGGGCCAAAAAGGAATTTGATCAATTATTACAAAACATGTGGCCTCCTACAGGTGTTAAAGAGGATTTCATTGCTACTATAGTACAAAATAACGTTTGTTTTGATATTAGACTGAACGCAACAGTATGTATCTTAAAACAGATGGGTTTAATAATCTTTTTCATTTTCTTTCGCGTTTTGTTAATCGTTAAAATTTCTTTCTCTAAAAAAAAAAAAAATCTTCTAAAAAAAAAATAATAATAATAATAATAATCAGATAAATCCACATGAAAGGGTAGCTGTAGCGTTAAGAGATTTATTGGCGATAAATAATGAAGGAAGTGTCATAGCATTATTTTGTTATACCCACCTTTATATGTTATCCCCAATCACGTATCCCTTATCGACAACAATATCAAAAATAGCTCCGATCATAGAATCAAAACTTCACTTATTGCCATTTCCGCCAAGGTACCTACCATATGAGAATAAAGAACCATTAAAACATCCAATAGATAGATTCGTATATTCGAGCAACCTATTTACTGATCAAGATAAACTCAAGTATACATGGATGATGTTATTAATGGTATTGGGTTATAAAAACGATGCGGGATTATGGCAAATATTTACAGGATTTGTGGAAGGACCTAGAGGTAATCCTTATTTTGCTGAAAAATGGTTATGGGAAGGGATTGTTGATTTATTAAAGAGGTATGAAAGGAACGAAGAGGATGAGGAAGAAGAACAATGGGTTGAATGTGATAGTGATATTGAAAGTGTTAAAGGCATCAGCGTTTACAGTTCAAATGAAAAAACTGACTATAATACAAAGAAAAATACATTTGATGGCTGGGAACTTGTTTATGAAAGGATAAGTATGTATAATCAACTTGTCTTTTATTATTGATTGATCAATTCACCTTATTCATCATTTCTCTTGAAACAGATGGTTATGATAATCTACAAAGAGTTAAATCAATATCTACTCCACCTTTACCACCACCGATATCATCACCAAATGCTTCTAAACCTAAGCAACTTATTAATCATAATCCTGTAATAGAAGAAGACAGACAACAGAGATTATGGTTATTTATTAAAACTTTTAGAGAAGTGGTATTATTGAGAAATGATTTAAATTATTAGATAATTTGGCAATTGAAAATCAAGGATAGATTCTTCCTAAATTTACTAATTTAATTGATTTAAAAATAAATAAAAATATGTTTATTTATTAACACGCGAAATGAATAGTCACATAAATTTACTTCTCCTACTTTTCATTCATTGACTGTTCATCGTTTACAGCAGCCGATCTCTTCCTATTTCTCTTCTCATCCTTTGGTTGACATTTTAAATGGGAAGACAGATTTTCTTCTAGTCGATCCATAACCGTGTCTATACCACCATTATTAAAGATTTCCAGCAACGTATTACTATAGGATTGTTTCGTTAATTTAGGATCTTTTCCTAATTTCTTTATCTTAAATTTATTAACCACGCTTTCTAATTCACAAGGCCCATATTCAGGATTATGCTTCATAGCGAGAGTTGCGATAGCCAATTTTTGTATGGCATCAGCCATCATAATCTTATAACGATTTTCCGTCTCGGGTTGCTTTATTTCACGAGATTTAAGACTACGCATCTCGACGTTGTTTACTGGACTTGGGTTGATTTCGTATGAAATGGTTTCTGATTGTGGGCATGAATCGGTAACAATTTCTACAGTGTGTTTTCTCGCATTTGATGTTGAAGCCACTATTGCCATATTAGGATTCTCGGATGATTGTCTACTCCCTTGAGCTGATGTGGAAAAGTTGCAACCTCCACTTGTTGATGACGAAAGGGAAAGGTTATCTGTCATTTGAGAAATTGAATTCATCATCGACTGGTGATCCGTTTTCTGTACATCACCAGTCTTTACTTTCTTTTGAGGTGGTTGTAATGCAGAACCCATGATTTTGACAAGATCTGCTTCGGGTACATCTAAAGCCTTGGTATTTTCGATGATTTTCTGACTCTTTTTGCTTATTTTCCTCTTTCGTTTTTGAGGCAAAGAGGCTAAATAGTACCTCCTTTCTTGATTAAGGGATTGAGCGGTCGAATGCGAGAAAACACACTGTAGAAATTGTTACCGATTCATGCCC